GTGGTGGTGATGGTGATGGTGGTGATGGTGATGATGGTGATGGTGATGATGTGATGATGGTGAAGTGGATGAGGGTAGAAGTAATTACCATCTGAGGACAGCCACCTATGAACAGCATGGAGTAATGCACACATATGTGGCTCAAACCTAGAAGCTCTGTGTCCACAGACACAGTCAACTGTGAATTGAAAGAAAATATTAAGAAAAATTTCAGCAAGTGCCTAGAAGCAGTGCTTGAATCAGCCATGTGCTGAGCATTCTGTTGAATTCTGTGGATGAAGAGAGCAGCAGACGCGCCTGCCAGAGCATTCTGCCATCCCACAGCCCTGCGTGTCTCCCCAGCGCTCTCTGTGTGTTGCTCTTTCCGCGTCCCCTCTGTCTGCCACGCAGTCAGGTCTATGACAGCTGGGTCAGTGGCCTCTAAGCAGTCCAGTATAACAACTATTTGCATAGCATTTACCTTGGCTCGTAATCTAAAGACGATTTGCCCTTTAAGTTTTAATGCAGAGGACATGGATGAGACTTGAGCATGTGCAGGTTTGGGTGTCCATCGGGGTCCTGAGAGCAGTCCTTTGTGGGTGCTGAGGGGTGAATGCAGTGAGCATTCTTCTCCTGACAACTTGGAGCACAACCCGAGCCCAGACTTTCCTGAGAAATCCTCTCCTCTCTAGTTAATAGAATGGCAGATGTTGGATCGGCCCCAGAGCCTGGAGTGTACCACACTTTAATGATTTGTGGTGAATAAAGTAAATGTTTCAAAACCAGACTTTATGAAGTGGGGAACCAGTTAAGGATGATGGATCGGAGGGGAAGCCAAGAGCCACTGGGTAGCTTGGCCTGAGCAGGCTGCAGGTGTCTACTGCGCATGGCCAGTTCTAAGGACTCACTTGCAAAATGCCTTTGTAAAAAGCCATTCTCTTCAGGAATTCCATGGAGGCAGGGAGGAAACTCCCTTTCTTCTCTCTGGCCTTTCTCTAAGGGGAATCCTTGCTACTGGGTTGTTAAGCAGTTGCTCTGTGTCTTTGTGCTTCTGTGACCACATGATGGGTCTAAGACATATGGGGTAAGTGAGCAGTTTTCATTTCTGAAAAGGAAGAAAACAAGACCAAAAAAAATTACCGTATTGCTTTTAAAAGCTATTCAATCAGAGACTCCAGCAAGGGCAAATAAAAGTGGTCATTGGAAACATTTTGTTAGCCTCTTAGCAGCAGCAATACAGCAGGACTCGTGTCAAGCCAGGGTTCTGATGCGCCCTCTTTTCTCTTCTCCCACAGGGCAACCCCTACATGTGCAATAATGAGTGTGATGCGAGCACCCCCGAGCTGGCACACCCCCCCGAGCTGATGTTTGATTTTGAAGGAAGACACCCCTCCACCTTTTGGCAGTCTGCGACTTGGAAGGAGTACCCCAAGCCTCTCCAAGTTAACATCACCCTCTCTTGGAGCAAAACCATTGAGCTCACAGACAACATAGTTATTACTTTTGAGTCGGGGCGTCCAGACCAAATGATCCTGGAGAAATCGCTTGATTACGGACGCACATGGCAACCCTATCAGTATTACGCCACGGATTGCTTAGACGCTTTTCACATGGATCCCAAATCCGTGAAGGATTTATCGCAACACACGGTCTTAGAAATCATTTGCACGGAAGAGTACTCCACGGGGTATACAACAAATAGCAAAATCATCCACTTTGAAATCAAAGACAGGTTTGCATTCTTTGCTGGACCTCGACTTCGGAATATGGCTTCTCTCTACGGTCAGCTGGATACAACCAAGAAGCTCAGAGATTTCTTTACAGTCACAGACCTGAGGATAAGGCTGTTGAGACCCGCGGTGGGGGAAATATTTGTAGACGAGCTTCACCTGGCACGCTACTTTTATGCCATCTCAGACATAAAGGTGCGGGGAAGGTAAGGAGACTTCTGTCGGCCTTGCATGGGAATGGGTGTGGCCAGGGCCAATGCCAGTGGTCGTATCTCCAGACTACAAAGTGACAGGTGTCATATTCTAGACCAGGCTTTCTTGGGAATACTTATGCGGAAGTAGGTTCTGAATCTATCTGTGACCCCCTGTACTCAGCCGTAGTCTGTGACCCCAGCCTCGTTGCCACTGAACTTGGAAGGAACCCGTCATTTTTTAAAGTACTTTAATAAGCACATAACATATAAAAAGTACGCTCTTTGAGACAAGGAAACTCTCCGGGTCAGGAGGTAGTTTTTAAGTTTCAGCAATGAAATTGGGGGTCATAAAAGCAGTTGATCTAAAAGGAGCTGGAGAGGAATGAACTCTATCTGGTGTTTTGGAATGTAAAAGAGGATTGCAGCCATGTGCAGCAGTCTGTAATACTGTTGTCTTGCACAAAAGAATCTGGAGGTGAATGTTATAGTCATTTAAATTTATTACATCCAAGCTGAAGCGTCTAGAAAACAATGCATTTGTTAAGGAAACGCAGGTTCTACTTTTAAAGTTTCTGGTGGCTGTTGTATTGAAAAGACATAATATCTTAAAAACACGGACTTGAGTGAAGTGCACACACTTCATTTTGTAGGTGAGCTAAAGATGGACGAGGGTCGGAACTTGGGTGCCAGGGATACGCTCAGCTTTGGCATGCCACAAGCACAGCTGAGTCTCTAAGAATTTTGAAGATACTCAGGTGAAACACTTGCGTGATGAGATCCTGTCAGCACTGAGTTTTGGAAGCTTTGTAAGTGTGGCATGTTGTCAGATAGCCAACCGATGACCTCGGGAACATGAGGGAGCAGCCGGGAAGAACTGAGCAGTCGGGTTGTAACAAATGGGGGCAAGAACCAAAAGATAAGCAAAGCAATAATCGCTCCGAAAATGCCAAGAACTCTAAGTGAGAAACCTACAGAGGAGAATATAAACAGGACTTCTATCATGAGGGCTTAAGTAAGTAATCAAACAAATTAAGCACAAGAAAGTAGGATTCTTTCAGCTGCTGGCTTTCAGCATTTTTAGGGAAGACCAGTCCTCAGAAACTGGAGCTGTTGAGATCTTCTTGTCTTTCAGACTTTCCTTGTGTATGTTGCGGGAGGAAGAAAAGGTCGCTGCTGTCAGGCTCAGAGCCACGGCAGGCTTGCGGGCTGTGAGGTCTGACCATTCAGAGTGTGGTCCGAGGCGCAGGGTCTCGGCTGCAGAAAAGCCGCAGGCACGTGCCATCCTCTTGGTTCTAGCTTCATGTTCATGGAGGAGAGTCCAAACTCATTAGCTTTTAACCAAAATCTTAATGATAGATACGAAAGACGTCTCTAAGCAAAATACAGTCTTCGAGAGAAATATTCGCTGACCCATGGCTGCCCATGTGGAGTAGAGGCTCCAGGTGCCAGTGAGCAGCTCGCTGCACTACCAACAACCACAGCAGGGTGAGGGACGTGCTGTCGGGAACCGGAGTCTGCAGTTTATAAGCAAATGCAGTGAGGACATTCAGGAACGTGGTAGTAAAAGATACCAATTCCAGTGTCTGGTCATTCAGGTCATATGATAGAGGAAAATAATTAATGATGTTATTACTAACACTAGTACACAAAAACCAAAGGACAAGTACCTAACTCACATTCGTTTCTGTAGAATAAAGGCCAATATTAATAAACTGAGGTTTGAGTTTGAGTCCTACTGTGATCTACGTGGTTCCATGAAATTCACCAGTTAGTTGCCTGGCGGATTGCGAAGTCCTCAGTCAGAGCACGATGCTTGCTACAGACCAACTTTCCCTAAACGCTCTTCTGCCACTGTTCAGAAGCCGGTCTTTGAAAGCTGTGTAGTTGGGAAACATTGACCTCTGGGGCTTTTTATTTTTCTTTCCTCTGATTATTTTCCAAAGGTATGAAACACATTTTAATGACAAAGGCATTTTTACACATTCTCCATTGGAACCAGACAGGCCATCTCCCAAGGGCGGCGTGTCAGGAGTGCAGAGTCCCTTCCGATTATCATTTTTCTTCTATCCCTCGTCCTGGTAGTGTCCTTGCAATGCACTTCAACGGTCCCGAGGAGCTCACGGTGGCCCCTGTCTGTACTCTGGGACTCACCTCCACTGTCTTTGCTGCTCACCTGTCAATGGCAAGCTGATGAGGAACAGCTGGGCCAAAGAGAAAGGGCCAGCAGAGGTGAGCCCTTCCGGAAGGTCCTGTGCTGTCACCTCCACACTCTGTCCAAATTCCTCAGGGCAAAGCCGAAGCTGGCATGTGCTGCACTAGACACCAGATGGCCTGAATATTTTTAGTCTTAGGGGAGGGACTAAAGAAGTAAGGTCTGATGGCTCAGGCGTGTCTCCAGCTTTGAAGTTATATAAGAAAGACTCGCTCATGGTGGAAGGGAAAGGGTGAGCGGTGCCCTAGTGCACGCGGCCCTTCCACATGCTGTGCTGGTTCACCCTTGCCGTTTCTGCAGGATGAACAGGCGAGGCCATCTTTCATGCTGCATGTCCTCTTTAGAGGGTTGACTATCGCCTGATGATTTGTGCAAGAAAGTTCTAAAAATTCCTCTTCACAACCATCATAACTGCAAATTTTCTAAACTATACTTGAGATTTTGTTTCCTGTGTACAGCCACCAACCCATGACGTGGCTGCATCTTGTTACACATCTCTGCGTGTCTGTCAGTGACAATGATAATGATATTATTCCACTTGTCACCTTCCTCACCACCCCCAGCAAAGTGTAGAAATCTGTAAATTATTCTGGGAGAGTGGAGTGGTACTCACATATAACTACCCGCAGAACAGTTGATACAGATCTCAGAATTTTTCATTTGGAAATATTAATCTTCTAAACAAAAATATTTCATGACCTTTGAAATTGTCTGATTATGAAGTCTGAGTCTCCACTTCATTGTACATGTGTGTGTTTTAAACTGACGAGTTTTGTGCAATGTAAACATGACATTTTGATTGCCATTGGATTAAGGCAGCATTTATGTTCTTCTTAGCGTGTGATACAACACACCTGGTATCTGTTTTCCTGATAACAAACACTATAACCTCATCATACAAAATGTATTCTTCTTTTGCTACACACTTATTTTGCTTTCATTTACTCCTTCTCATCATATATTTATTAAGATAATGGAGGAAAATGAGGAAACACAGCTATTATCAATCTCAGGGACTCCATGGTGCTCACCTTGTTCAATACAACTAATCTTCGTGGACTAATTCTGACTTATGGATGTCCTGCTTCAGTAAATCAGGGTGATTTTCTCTGGTGAATAATAGACAAGTCCATGTGCCAGTCCCTTAATTAAAGAGCAGCTCTCTTAGTCTTGATCTCATTTTAATTTACAGGGTAATACTACAATAATATAACTAATGGAAGGTACATTAAAGGGCATCAAGTAGCATTAGCTGTATTAAATTATGGTACTTGTGTTAATTAACTGCTGAAACAAGATGGTGCTAATGGCCAAAAGGTTGTCTAGTGCATAAATAAAATGTACCCGGATGGAGGGGGAGAGTAGAAAGGAAGAGTAGACGTTTGCTCTAAACATCATTTCATACAGGCAGGGGGTAAATTCAAAGGCCGTTAAATGCGGATAATGACCTCAACGTTTCTTGTCTGCACGACTGGAAGTTTTATATTTAAGTGATTTTGTTTCTTTCTGAGTTTCTATAACTAAACTAATTAAAAACCTGACCACCTTGGTTTTCAGATGCCTATATTTCATGAGACCATTAAGTAAACATGCTGTCCTGTTTCTTTGGTGAACAGAAAATTCAAGGAAGTTATGTACTCTATTGTAATAATTTTTAAATCTGAAAGACAAATGAATATCTGGTAATATACTCATACCATGTACTCATCAACTCCCTGTTTTGGGATCTAGGATAATTGGTGTCTGCTTTCACAACAACAACTTTAAAACAGAATTGAAAGTCCTTTTCTCGGTGACCTAAAAAAAGCTAATCAACATCACTTTTTTTTGCCTTTTCACAAATCATTCCCAAAGGTAATCATCCGTACTTTTTCCAGTAATTGTGTTTATTCATTTCTTGCGTCTTACAGTGTTTGCGCAGGCTCTGTTATGGATAGCTGGTGACCAGTAGAATGAAGGCCAGAGTCTGCCCTCACCCTAAGGTCAACTTTCCATAGTTTTAGTTGCTCGAGTCCAGAATATTAAAAGGAAAATTCCAGAAATAGAAATAAGCGGTCATAGATTTTAAATAGACTTTATGAAGGCTATATTTATAATTGTGCTCTTTTATTATTAGTGACCTTTGTTTGCCACTTGCTGTGCCTAATTGATAAGTTACATGTTATTCTAGATAGATGCACAGATGTACATCTTTGTAAAACAAACAAACAAACAAAAAAAAAAAAAAAAACAGTCGCTATGCATGGGGCTTGGTACTATCTGTGATTGTAAGCACCCCTGGCAGTGCTGGGACGTGCCTCCCCGGGGGAAGAGAAGTTTTTGAGGGTTCTGTCCTTCCTGTCTCACTGCTTAAGCTCATGAGAGGAGCCGCGGGGCACACGCTGGTGCGCACCTGCAACCCCGGGCAGACCGCGGCAGGAAGGGCTCAAGTCTGAGCGCAGTCTGGCTCGCTTAGTGTCTTAGGGACAGCCGGGCTCCAAATACAAGAATAAGAACTGGGATGTAGCTCGGAGCGCAGACTCTGGGCTTAGCATTCATCATTCAAAAGGAAGATGAGCATCGTCCAGAAACTCCACGCCAGCGAACTGTCTTCACCCAGCTTCTGCCCCACTCGGAACCACGCACTCCTTCCCCTGATGACAGGGCTGGAGGGCCCACGGCCAGGCTGCCCTACCTGGGCCCCAGGGGTCAACAAGGACCCTGCACGCTCATTCTCAGAGGAAGCCAGACGCCCCTCTGTAACCTCTTACTGACTGAAAGCCACCATCTCACATTTACTGTAATTAGGGCAAGGTGATGT